CGCTATCACAGCGCTGGGGCCGCCCGCGGGGCCCGCGCCACAGCCCGGGTGCAAAGGTGCAAAGCGGCAGCCGTTATCTCCGCTAACAGCGATAACGGGATCCTCGGCCGCTCAGCACCCGGCCGGCTGTGCGGTGCGGGTCAGACATCGCGCTGCTTCACGCGGTTTCACACGGCGCCCATCGCGTCCCTCTGGCGATGCGCGTTTCTTCCCGCCCTCGCTCTGCTCCTGAGCCGCAGGGCACAGCGCGGAGCACCCGCTGCATCCCGGCTGCAAGGGGCGCGCGCGAACCACTCACCTACGTACTCGTCCATGTTGAAGGTTTTCACGTACTTGAAGGACAGGTCCCCGTTTTTGTAGTACTCCACCAGCTTTCTGTAGCAGCCCAGCGGCGTGCTGCCTGCGGACACACGCCATGCCGTCAACCCGTCCTTCTGTCCGTCCGTCCGTCAGCCCGCCCCGCTCAGCCCCTCACAACCCGCCCGGTCCCGCCGCCACCCACCTGTAGGCAGCCCCAACGTGAAGAAGCGGCCGGGGCCGGGCGCAAAGTGGACGATGCGGTTGCGGATGTACTTGGCGGCCCACTCGCTCGCCCGCTCGTACGTCTCCTGGATGATGAGCTTCATGGCGAGGCCGGGCGGAGCTCCACCCTACGCCGCCATTTTAGCGCCGCTCCCGCCCCGCCCCGCTGTGGGCGGTCAGCCCGGCTCCGCGGCGCGCGGAGCGCTGTGCGCGCGAGTTCTGCCCGACGGCTGCGGGCGGGCGGTGGCGGCCGTGATGGCACAGCCCGGTTCTCAGTTTATCTCAGAGCGCTTCCGTGGTAACTGTAGAATCAGCGCAGAGGGAAGCAGTTCAGCGCGCCCAGTAACGAGGCGTTCAGGCTGTGAGAGGTCTGTGCAAATAAATACAAATGATGAGCTACGGCTCCGCGGCCGCGCTGCGCTCCGCCTCCCGCAGTCGGACCGGCGGCCGGCTGCTTGCAACCCCTGAGCGCTGCTCCGGCACCGAGCGGCACGGTGCTGCCGACCCCCCAAAGTGACCTTCCTTCTTTCCTTCCTTTCCCTCCTTTCCTTCTTCCTTCCACGGCTCCGGCTCTCTTCGCGCTGTGACAGGAACGTGCCCGACGTCGCCTTGCAGCCTTGCTCAGAGGTATGAGGTTTGTTGAGGTGCAAAAGCTCTTCTTTCAAAGTCAGACGGCTTTCTGCTTTCATTAGAAAGGAAGAATGAAATACAAACTGCTTTCTAGCACCCATCCCACGCAGCTCCTGCTTATTTTAATAATTTAAATGACCTGGTAATGCTGAGTGCTGCTGATGCTGCCTCATCTGAGCGCTGAGAGCTGCTGGCTTGGTTTGCGCTCGGCTGGAGAGTGACGGCTGTGATGGGCCGCAGATGGTTGTGGTTGAGCTCAGGAAGAGTTTTAGGCCACAGAGACTAAAAAAAAATGGAAAGTGCGGAGTGTTTCCATCAGCAGCAGTTATCCAGCGAGCACAGAAGTATTTCCGTGGCTGCATTGCTGGGCAAAGAGCTGAGAGTCACACAGTGTTCTGAGACGAGGCTTTTCCACAGGCTGTCGCCTGCCCCGTGGCTCCGGGTGAGACCGCTTTCCTGCTGTTCCCACTGGTCAGTGCAATGCACCCATCGGTCCCGTGCACAGGGCAGCAATGACAGCCCAGCTGGTTTCAGCAGCACAGGTCAGAGCTGGATGAAGCTGCACCACACCGTGCTGCTAACAGAGCCCCGGGGCCAGCGCTGAACTTTGCAAAGGCGTTTGGCTGAAATTCAGTGCGTCTCTGTGCACTGCAAACAGTCTTCACTCTTGCTCTGACCCCCTTTGCAAGCAGCTTTGGCAGGAGCAGTGCACAAAGACAGCAGAGTCATCCCAGTTAAAAAAAAAACCAATAACAACCCAGAAACAGCCAACCAAACAAAAAAAAATGTTTTGTTGGGAGGAAAAAACCGCAACAGTGCGCGAGAGGCAGGCACGTGCATGTGCTGCCACAGCTGCCCCGTCCTGCCCACGTCCCATGGATCTGCGTGCTTCAGGAGCCTGCTGATGCTGAGGAAATGGCTCCAGGGCTGGGTTATACGTGTGACTGGAATGCGGGATATTTTTAGGTATGATTATTTATGCGTGTTGCTGTTTCTGCATTCTCAGCTCGCTGTTGAAATGTTGAAGAACTTCCTGGTGTCTGAACAAGCTGATTTTCCTTCCCAGCAAAAGCAGCAGATGGAAGGAAACAAACACTTCCCTGCAGAACCAGGGGGTTCTAACAAGCACAGCATTTTCTTTTTCTCTGCCTTGAAGTGATGAGAGTCAGCAGTTCACACAGACCAGAGCTTTTGCTATCAGGGGCTGCTTTTGAGCACTGTTGTTTTTTTTTTTCCCCTTTCTAAAAAAAGCAACAATTAAAAATTTATGTGCATAAATTTCTCTTCAATTCCCATAATTAAAGCAGCTCCTAAATGCTCGCCATCTGCCAGCATTTCCTGCTCCTGCGCATCTCACCTGCCTTCACTCTCCTGTTTATGAGGAAAGGAGAAACTGGATTCCCGGGTGGATGGACCTGCAGGGAGCTGCCCTTTTCCACAAGCCCTGCTTGCTGCCCAGCTCCTCCCACCATTGCCCAGATTCCAGAGAGCCAATGAGCACTACCAGCAGCTGCTGGCACTGAAGAATACAGCTCACAGCACTCCACTGCGTGTCTCTGGGCAGCACAGTGGAGTTTCTGCTGATGCCAGCAGTCTTTGGATGAGACTCCTGGTGAAGTTTCCATCTTCCTTGAGGCCAGCTCTGTAATGGCAGACAGTGCAGGCTTTATTTACATGAACAATACTCTGCCACCATTTTTTCTCAGCCTGCCAGTTGCAGCCTGCTTGCAGATGATTAAGCTATTACAGCGGAGAGCTTCAGAGGTATCATTTGATCCATTAACTCACACAAACATTTGTCTTCAATTTTTTCTTAGGTGAATCATTTATTGCTATAAAGATAGCAAGGAAGAGCTAAGTTTTAATGTCTTGCTTATTCCTTATTTAAACAAGTCTAGCTTAGCCCTCCCCCCCCCACCTCCCCCAAGCTTTATCATTTAGTTTGTTCAATATTGTTACAAAGCATAGATTAAAAGTGCCCTCTTTATTGTTCAGTCATACACCATAATCAAAGTAACGCTTGTGGGTTTCAGGGGACTCACCATACTGCAGCCCTCTAACATTTTCAATCGCTTTCAAATGCTTTCACAGCATATCCCACACGGAAGTCACTGAAAAGCAATGACTTCAAGCTTCAGAGCATCTCTTGGGAGAGAAGACATTTTGTATTGGAGGAAGATTTAGAAAATGCAGAAGTATGAAGTGATTTGCCTAAAACCATGCAGGAAATGAAAGCAGTCATGCACTGTAACCACAGCATCATCTTAGCTGCTGTCCCTTGTAAAATAAAACAAACACACAGAGAGCAGCTGGAAGAAATTGCCATCAGCTCCCCATGTCAGCCGTGCTCAGGCTAGTTGGCCTAATTAGGGGGTGATATGCCTCTGGCTAATGACTGTGGCACAAACTGTTTCACCATCTCTTCGGGATACTGTCCAGCATCTTTTCTGAGGGTATGCACAGGTTGTGTCTGGTTTTAGTCTTTCAGATGTCCAAGTCAATCAGTGTACAGCTAATTACCGCTGTGGCTGTAGCTATACTTAGGGATATAATCCTACCTCGACAGCAAATCCGCGCACGTCATCAGGACAGCTTCTTAGTGCAAAGGAGATTCTCAGTGCAAACTGTGAATCTTGTGGAAAGGGGAAACAGTGTGGCAGTGCCTTCAGCTCTCACTCCAACTCCTTCAAAGGTGTTTTTCTTGCAAGAAACTTGCATTCTCCTCATGCCTACAGCATTTCTCAGGAGCCTCTCTTGAAGGTTCTTCTTGGCTAAAGCCCTTTACAATTCCTGTCTGTCCCTTAGGAGAACTGCAATGTTCACCAATCTCTTTAGGGCTAGGGCGAGCTATCCAGTCCTGTGAGGAATACAGAACAGATCCCAGCCTGAGCATGGTACTGAACACAGAGCTGTAATCATTCATTTATGACAGAGTTTGCAGTTCAGGACCATGTCCTCAGATTTAAACTCTTTCTCTGAATTGGCAGCTCAGAATCCCAGCGGGGCTGATTCAGCCCTCCTCATCCTAAAGCAGATATATTTAAGTCTTATCAACCTTAGGGACAGATGAGGGTGGTTCTGCACAAGTCCAACTGCAGATGAACTGTGCAAGCACAGAACAAGGGTGAAAATCCCTCAACCCATGTAACATTAAACGCAAAAAAAAAAAAAAAAAATCAGAATAAACAAATGTACAACCCAGCGTGATTTCAAACGAGTGCTTACTCTGGGAGGCTTTGGGTCTGCAGCACCATCTGCTTGATGTGGATATTCGGGATTTCGCGGCACCTCCTGAGCAGCTGGCCAGCATTTCGGGGTAGCTTCGGCTGCAGTGCCACGTGTGTGTGTGTGCTGGGAGCAGCTGGGAGGGCATCACGTTGGGAACTGACACGGACGTTAACGGAGAGGGCGGTACAGCCCTGGGACGGGGCATGGGATGGCACTGGGGCTGCCGAGCTCAGGGAGCGTTTGGGCAGCGCTCTCAACACAGGGCTCGGCTTTGGGCGGCGCCGTGCGGCCCCAGGGGTGGGTTCGGCGATCCTTACGGGTCCCTTCCAACTCGCCGTTCCGTGATTCTGTGCCCAGCCCCAGGGCAGCAGTTCGCACAGCCTGCTCCCAGCGGGCCGTGAAGGCGGCGCCCATCTCCAGCGTGGGGCGCCGTGAATTTCGGATCGCTAGCTGTGGAAATCTCCGCACAGCAACCGCAGCACCGCCAGGCCCAGCGGGGCCGCCGGTTCCTCTCGGGCCCGAGGCCTCCGGCTGCCGGCGGGGCGGGGCGGGGCGGGGCGGGAGGAGGGCGCGACCGAGCGTGACGGGCGGAGGGAGGGCGGGAGCGGAGCCGCAGCGAAGAGGCCCCGGCTGCGCGGCCTCCGCTTCAGCAGCGCCCGTCGGGAGGCGGCCGGGCAGCGCCGAGCCCCCGCCACCCGCTCAGCCCTCGCCCTCCCAGCGCCATGGCGGCCGCCGAGCCCGGCAGCGGCCGCTACCAGCAGGTGAGGGGCGCAGGGGCTCCTTGGGCCGCGCGGGAGGCTGCGGGGGGGCCGTAAGGAGAGCGCGGGGCCTCGGCGCCGATCCGGGCTCCGGAGGCCGCTGCGGGGCGAGGCGCGGCACGGCGCGGCCGGGCTGCTGGCGGCGGAGCGCCGCCCCTCCCCGCGCTGCTGGCGGCACGGCGGTGACCTTGCCGGGATGCCGCCCTTCCGCCGTGCTGCGGCCGGCCGGCTCCGCGCGGGTGCTTCCCGGCGGTGAGGTCGTTCTGTACCGTCTTGGAGTGAGCGTTAATTTTGTTTCTCGTGCTCGGCGCGGTGCTCTCGGCCCGCGTTGAAATCCCCCTAGGCCGGATTGCGTGCTTGCGGAGCTCCCGGATGCGCTCGGTGCGTTCTTCCTTCCCTGCCTCCCGTAGGACGGGAGCCCATCCCAGCCGCAGGAAGCAGCGGGCGGCGTGAGCCCGGCCCTGTGCTGCGGGCTGCGGAGCGGAGACCTCCCAGCTCGCAGTGAGGGGGAGAAATGCCCCAGAAATGTGGGCACCTGCCTGCTGTTGGTGCTCCTCGGAGAAGCCGCTGGGCTGTGGCTGTGTGCTGGTGCCGTTTGGTGGCTGTGTGCTCTCCTCAGAATACCGGTGCGGCTTCTCTTAGGACAGAGTGCTGGGCTCGGCCTTGCAGCTGTACGTGACTGGTTTTGGCATGCTAGATTTGTAAAAGTTAAGTAAAACTTGCTGTTTTTTTCCTGTAGAACACAAATGTCTTCACTCACGGAGACAAATCTCTTTCTTTGTTGCTCTTCTCAGCCATGTTGGCTACAAATAACCGGGTTTCTTTGCTAATTGCCTGTCTGTCAGCCCTGAGAATCCTCCTCGTAAATGTCAATTACAGAGGGGTCTGGTTTTGTGTCCTGTCGTCTTGAGTTCATGAAGATATGTGACAGGAGCATCGTTCAGCTTATGCTGCCTTGTTCTCGGTGACACTCCAGACCTGACTGATAAGAACCCTGCTGATTCCCTTAAGAGAAATGTGGAAAGCTGTCATTTCACCAGATCTCACTCACACGTGGGGCAGACATGTAACAGACCCTGTTACTGCTGTAGAGCACAGCTCTGCGTGGTACAGCAGAGATTAGAGAGGCAGCCTGCGCCCCAGAGGATTTGTTCTGCTAAAGACGAGGTCCCAGGGAAAGACAGCTGTAATTGATTGCAGAATGAGAAACATACAGATGGAATTACTTCGCTGGACTGTTTAAAAGTTGCTTTTTTTCCCCCCTTGCCCTCTGTCAGAACTCTGGTATTTGTGCTGTTGTCAAGCACGTTATTGGTTCCTCATGCTTGCCCTGCTCCAGAGAATCCCTGCGTGCTGTGAAACTGGAGATGTAGAGCTGATGTTTAGAGGGGGTGGGAGAACCTCTCCAATGTGAACATGTTGTGGTTTTTAGATACTGAATCTCACTGCATGTGCAGATGTCCAACTAAAATTTCTGCCAGAGGAGTATTTGTAAAGAATTGATAGCTGTATGAATATACAGCTGAATGCAGGGCCTGTAAGTGTAGGCAGTGTGTGGAAATTACCAATATGGTCATTTAATCTTTTAAGTTACTGGAGTATGAAGCAGTGAAAGAGAACTGAAAATTATCAATCTTGAACTTTTATTTTTGGGAGGGGATGATGCATTGGTGGTGGTTGACCCATCATTGGGCAGCTCGCCTGCAGCTGAATGTGCTGCCCTGTCTGCATGGCAGCTTAACATCCATCTCCATGAGGGTTTTGTGCGTGGATCCGCATGTGTGGGAACAGAGCATGAGAGCTGGGATCCCCTGAGTGTGTGCATTCCCAAAAAACAGAGAAAAGGATACTGAGCACAGAGGGCAACAGAAATAAATGAGCATCTGAGTTCAAAACCGGCGTGTTCTTCCTTGCAGGCCTGTGTGGGCGCACGGGCTGTGCATCCCCCGCAGCCTGTTCCACCACCTGTGTCTGTTCCTCTGTACGTGCTGTGTTAAAGAGATGCTTACGGCACGGGATTTATTTTCTGAAGCCAGTTTTCTGTAATCTTCAGCCCTCGTGCTTTATTCAGGCATTAGGTAATCTAACAGAAAATAGCCTGCGATTACACTTCTGAGTGCTGCGGTGGTCTGGCTGAGCGCGCTGAGGAAGCGCAGACGAAGCTAAGGCAAAACCCGTGGAAGGACGTGTGCCCTGCTGTGCTGGGGGTGTGGAGCTGGGCAGCAGCAGGCAGCTGGTTCTGTCCCTCGGTGCAGGGCAGAGAGGTGGGACGGGGTGCTGGGGAGCAGGGCAGGCTGCAGCACGCAGCAGTCTGTGTCCCAGAAGGACCGGGGCTGATGGTGTTGCAGTTTGGACTCGCTTTTGGGAAGGCTGTGCAGGGTGTTGCTGGGTTTAGGTGGCTTAAAGCCTTTTCAGTGTATCCCCTGGACTGTGAGTTCAGTGGCAGAGCTGTGTTTTGTGCTTAGAGCTGAAAGTAGTCTCTGTTCTGGAAAAAATACTTAGGCTTTTAATAGGTTTATTTACACTCTGTGTTAACTGCTTTTTACTGGAGGCATTTGAAGATATATATGATGTATATGAGTAATGTAAACCCACCTAGAAAATGGTGGGTGTGTTAAATAATACTAACATACTCCTTTTTAAGTGGTATTTCTTCCAGTTCCACTTGTTGGAGGCCTACATGGATCATGAATCATTTTGTTATGGGAGGTGTCTATGGGAAATGTAAAGAAAGATTTCTCCGTTTGTTTGGCTTTCCTTTGGTGGAACTGCAGAAGAAATATGCTGCCTAAGATAGGAGAGTACGTTTGGAATCCATGGAGGACTGCAGTGCTTGTGTTCTGCCTGGGAAGACTGAAGTGAAATAGGAAAGGAGACATCAGTTGCCAGCTAGTGCTTACATTAGGCTCGTATTTGATTTTTCAGTTGCGGTGGGTGTGCAGAATATCCCATCTTTTGAAACATTAGCAGATAGAATTAGTGGTATCCTGGCTGTTCATTTCCTTGGGAGCTGTTTGGTGCTTGCAGAAGATGTGCTGCCTGAAGATACCTGCAATTGTAAGAAGGGTAAGGAAATAAAGAAAGGGCAGGTTGTTTTCTTCTTTTCCCTTTTGTGCACGTAGATGAATAGAACTGAGGTGTTCTTTGGCCATAAGAGCGGCAGAGTCTTACAGAAATGAGTCACAGTTTTCTCACACCACTGCTCGTGTTGCTCTGCACCCGGTGGGAGCCAGGATTTGGGGTGAAGCTGTGCTGCCTCTGTGCAACGCAGCACTTGTTCCAGCTGGCTCTTGGTAGATAGATACTGCTTTGTTCTGAAACAGCACCTTCTGCAGGCAAGCACACCTCTCAGGTGGGTTTGGAAGATTTTGGTGATTCTGTTTAGCTGTAGAATTAAAATAAATTCATTCTCTAAAGGTTAAAGGACTTGGGAAAGAGAGTGCTATACCAACAGTATCACTGCAAAACTTTTGCAGCAGCAGAATGCAGCCTTGCAGGCAGAAGTCTGTTTTAAATATTAAGTATCAGTATTTTGCTGGACTCTTAGGCTGAATTCTTTCTGTGACCTGCTAGCGTCCAGGAGGATGTTAGCGTGGTCCTAAAAATTGCAGCAGGGCTTTGTGCTTTGTTAGGTGCATGAAAGGTAACTCCGGCTCCCTAAGATGGAAACCAGCTTCTTGTGATGGCTTCAGCCATCGAGCACGCAGACAGAGGACGGTCTCAGCAGAGGTGTGTTCTGCCTGACGTGCTTGTTGGTAGCTTGGGCAAAGCAGCACAGTGCTCTGGGTGAGCAGAGGTGGGGGAATGGGAGCAGTGCTTCACAGCACTGGGGGTGTTTCTGTGGTGAGTCAGTGAGGAGCAGCTCCCTGGAGGCTGTGGATGGTATTTCGGAGGGCAGCAGCTGTGCTGAGCAGTGCTGGATGCATGCAGTGGTGCAAGGCATGGCTCTGCAGCCCGAACAGCAGCGTGAGGGAAGGGCCTTGTGTCCTTGTGGTGTGCACCTCTGGGTGCAAGTGTAACGAGCAGCTCTGTGCGCCGCTGTAATGCAGGTCAGTGACCTGCCAGAGCTCTGGGGAGAAAAGAGTTACCTGCTCCTCTAGGAGAGGGCTGCCGAGGGTTGGTGCGTGTGGGTTGGCTTGTCTAATGGCTTATCGTTACTCCTGCTGATTATAAGCTGATATGAAGTTAGAGGAATCTAAAACTGGATTGGGTGAAAGTCAGGATTTCAAATCAGAGTCAGGGGAAATGTAGCTGAATAAAAGGAGGTATCTTCTTTGGGCTGGGCAGCAGCTTTTATTTGTGTCCCAAAGGCTGAAGATACAAAAGGAGAAAAGTAAGGGGCGTTGCAATGGGATTAGAAAGTTGACCTGCTGGAGTACTTCCTATTTCAGGAATGACGTGGGTGGTTGTTTTTTGGTTTTTTTTGGTCTTAGGTTGGAAGGGACCTTAACGATCATCTAGTTAGCATTTAACATTGCTCGTGTTGGTTTGCAGAGGTTGTGATTCCATCATTCTGAAAAATCAACCCTGCCACCTTTAAAACATATATATATATATATATCTACATTGATTCTTTTGTTGTTACTAACCTAATTAGCTGCCTTTCTGAAATCCCACAGAAACCATAGTAACAACCAAAATGAGACCTGATCAGGGTTGCCTTCACTTGGATCCTCAGTAGGATTTCGTGCAGCACTACCTGGTGTGCCAGCACACGAATCAGAACTGAACTGCAGTGAGCACTGCTGAGCTGATGCATTGCTGACTGTGCGTGGCTGAGACAAAGCTGGGAATGGGCTGCATGCAAGCATTAATAAAGATGCAAAGCAATGCCAGCAGGCAGCGTGCTGAGCAGTACAGAGTTTGGAAGAGGAAACAAACTTGCATGGAAACATTTAAAAATGTCCTTTAAGTTTAGAACTTTAGTGCTGCTGTGCTGCACGTTTCTGCACTGGCAAAGTGGGGCAGCAGCTGCACCCCGCTCAGAGCTGCACTGCTGGTGGCTTTTGTTGGTTGGGAAGTAAATGTCTGATGGAACAGGGTAAGACTCAGGGACAACTTCCTGGCATTTGGTAATCAGATGAAAAACTAATCTCAGCCAAGCTCTTGTTGTAATAAGTGCACACACTGTGTAAATACGGCCTACTTTCAATGCAGCAAATGGGAGACTCACATTTTAAAAGCTGAGCTCCATCTGAGGAGCAAAGAAAGAACACCTGGCAGCCTCAGCAAAACAGGCTGTGTTCAAACCTGGCCTCAGTCACATTCTCTGGGATCTGAAGGCTCCCAGCAGCGGTGCAGAGGGAGGTTGCCTGCAGCCCCCCCACAGCACGGTGCTGGGTGCTGGGTGCCCGCCTCGGCCTGGGTGGAAAATGCAAGGCGAGAGCAGCAGGGCCGTGTTGTGCCACGTGAGACCTGGTGATTCATTCTTCCTGTCACATGAACCCTCACTGTTTTGCTAATAAGCACTTAGTTGAATTTTAGATGCCTGGAATCATTAAAAAGGCTGGAAGGCATTTGTGTACCTTGTCCATTAAAAGGCAAATCTGTTTCCTATAACTGCTTACCTTAGAGAGCCTCTAGCTCAATGTTACGAAGTAGAAGTAACTGCGTGTTTGATGTCATTATTTGACCTGTGGTGGTTTGCAGCTAGCAGTAAGGCCAGCTCGCCTTCTCCCGCATGACGCAGCAGTCAGTGGGGAGGTGGCAGCAGCCCTTGGACCCTTGGTTAATTGTTCCATGTGCACACGAGTGTGCAGCTGGCCCATCTGGTTTGCCTTCGTCAGCTTCTCTGATCAAAGCTGGAGTTGGCATACCTGGCTCATGCAGGGGGTGCTGCAGCTGTCAGTTGGTGGCTGGGAAGGCCCAGCAATGGATGCTCTCCTGCTCACTGGGATGGGTGTCATGCAGTTCATGCAGCTGTTGGGAAGCAGGTGTCCAATGGATTGCATCTAACTGAAGAGGTTTGGGCTTTGACTTTCACTGAGGACGTGGATGCAGTCTGAGCCTTTGATCTGAGCTATTGAAAGGAAAAAGAAGGTGCAGTGCAGTTAGGTGTAAGTGAGACCTCCTTGTACGCATGTGGGCCGTTTTTTTGTTTTCCTGGTAGGCTGTACAAGCAAAACAGAACTGCCAGCTCCCTGAGCAGTAAATGCTTGGCAAGGACTTGAGTGCCAACTTCAGAAGATGCCAGAAGTGTCTCTCCAAAGAGAAGAGAGCAAATGGCTTCAAGAACATTAGTGCCAGTGTGCAGGAGGAGTGGCTGAAGATGTTATGGGAGGAGCTGCTGTTGCTTAGCACTGGAGTAGCAGTGATGGCATCTCCCTGTGAGGGCTCAGTCCCAACGTGCTTTTCTGAAATGAATTGTCTTTCTGTGTAAAGAGTTAATTTCTTTGTTGATGAGAAGTGGAACAAGGAAAATAAATCAGGTAGCAGCTGATTTGTAAACTCTGTTCTGGTGTGTTCTGTTTCCAGCCCATCTGGTTTGCCCTCGTCAGCTTCTCTGATCAAAGCTGGAGTTGGCATACCTGGGTCCTGCAGAGGATGCTGCACTGCTGATAAGCTGCAGGGGTATTTATACCAAGCTGTGGGAATGTGGGAAGCACGGTGCACAAAGCACACAGTCTTCTCTGAAGTCATACATTGTGAAGGGGTGAGGAAAAATTGCAAGAGTCATATTTACATGCACCTTGTATCTGCTACAAACCAGGGGCAGCAGTGCAATCTTTTGTCTCCTGTTATTTCCGCAGCTAAAGCAGATGCAGTCGCAGCTCTTAAACGGTGTGAGCTGAGGATCCTTGGGAAGTGCCGGGGAAATGGAGAGGTACTGATAGGTGTGTGCTGTGCTAGGTTGAAGTCCAGGTGTGTGAGGACATGAAATCATTTTAATGTGCTTTTAGATCAACTGGGAGCTCTTTGGAGCAAAGCGAGGAACTGCTGGAATGCTCCACGATGCCACAGAGCTGTGTTGTTCCAGAAGAGGCTGCCGCGTGCACTTAAAACTCGGGGGGCGGTTCCACAGACCGTGGGGCACCCGTTTAACCTCTCTTGTGTGGTCTGTTCAGCTGCAGAACGAAGAGGAGCCAGGTGAGGCTGCACCAGTGGTCAGCGATGCCCCTCCGCCCTACAGCAGCATTTCTGCAGAGAATACAGGTAAGTGCAGCGGAGAGGAAGGAGTTGGGTTTGCTCTGTTCTTTCTTACCTCCTTAATTGTTCTCCGCATTGACAGATGGCATTGCATTATCCTTACCAAGGCGACGAAGGATCAGAATTGATGCAGAGGCACTATTGTTACTTGTGGTTTAGAATATGCATTTTGGCTGCGTTCATCTGATGTCATCCTGTAAAGTGCTGTTCAGTTACACTGCACAGCGTTCTGAGTTGATTGAAGGCAGTTAAGATCAAAGTGCTGCGAGGCTTTGTGGTTCCCTCTTGTTATTTGGCTACTGCACTCCTTCCAAAAAGGATTTGTTACTTAAAAGGGATTAAAGAATTCATGATTTCTGCAGTTTTCAGTAACCAAGAACTTGGTCGTAAGGTTATGCTTCTGAATCATGGTACTGTCATACAGCTCACTAATAGCTTTGAGCAAAAGAGATTTTCTTTGTGCTGGTTCTGTATCAGTGTGCTTTAACTTAGGTAAATCTTTTCATTTTTCCCCTCCAGAACTTCTGTAGTTGACTTTACAGAAGATTTGTGAATCAGATGCGAGTCAGTATTTCCAGTAGCCAGCCAGCTTTGGCTAGAAGTTGGAGGGCTGTTTCTAAAGCTGACGGTTGGATATCTTGCCTCAGCACACTCATTGTGAAGATGCCCCGATTAGTTCAGATTCCTTGGTGTGCCTAAGAGATTGGGGCTCAGAAATGTGCTGTGATTTTTGTCCCGGTCCATTCCCTGCGTCAAAAAAATTGTTAGGAGTCTTTCTCTGGAAACATTGCTTGCCAGCAATCTGAGGCTCAGAGCGATTCTTCTTTTGACTCACTCAGACTGTTTGGGATTCATAAATAAAACTGCTTCTGTTTTATTGAAGGACAGATGCATGTGTCATTGCTTTAAAAATAAGTAGAGCTGGGCTTGTTGAAGTAGTGCTTTGCGTATTACTTTGTATGAGATAAGATGTTCCTGTGCTTTTCACTTTGTATTCTGGGATGGAAAGAGGCTAAAAGGGTGGGGAGGGGATGAGAGCTTAACAGTCGGGATCCTGAGGTCTTCTGAGGGCTTCTGAAATGCTTTTTGTTCCCAGCATGGAGTTAGGGAGCAGACAGGTTACCTGTTGTATAACTTTTGCTTTGCAGCTTATTTTGACTACAAGGATGAGTCAGGATTTCCGAAGCCTCCATCTTACAACGTGGCCACAACGCTGCCTAGTTACGATGAGGCAGAGAGAACCAAGGCTGAAGCCACAATTCCCTTGGTTCCTGGAAGAGTGAGTACACTTGGCTGCCTGGATCCTTCACATCTGTGTAGGATTTCTCTTTAAGTCCTGCTTATCAAGTGTCCTGCCTCTTGTTCCTCAGCCTTTTAGGGCAGTGGTATTACGCACTCCCAAGAGTTCTGAGGTGTGAGGTTTTAAATTCTCCTCTGGGCAGCTATGAAGTAATGCTGTCCAGGTTAGTTTGGCAAGCTGACAGAGGTGGTTTTAAAGGAATTCAGGATTAATTATCCAGCCATCTCATGTATATACTCTCAGTGCTCCTGCTGCTTACTGAGCTGACTTTACCACAGGGCAGTCTAGCTGATGCAAGGGTGAGAAAACCATTCCCCCTATCAGGCTACATGTTTTTCATTTTTCAAATTTCCTTTGTCAACACTACCTTTTGTTCATCGTGGTCCCCCACCCCAATAGCATTAAAAGCCCACAGTTCCTTACAGTTCTTTATGAAAGCCAAATTACTCATTGAGATGAGAAGTGTATTTTTCTGATGAGTGGGGGAATTCTTTTAGTGAGGACAAGAACATGCCTGTATTAAGATAAAGAAATAGAAAACACTGCTAAGGATTTAATATAGCATGCCTTGGGGTTTTTCTCTGCTTGCACTTGCAGTCTTCTGAGATTTAGGAATATTTTCCCCAAAAGGAGTTTCTTTGAGTGTGAACTGAGCACTTTGTGTCCCTCTGTTGCACGCTGCTCTGAGGACTGTGTGCTTTGCTGACCCTGTCTTGCAGAAGCAGGTGCAGATGTGAGTTTGCTGTACGGATCGGGCTGACTTGAATGCGTTTGTGTTGCCTTTCCCTTTGATTTGCAGGAGGAGGACTTTGTGACACGGGATGACTTTGATGACAGTGACCAGCTGAGGATAGGAAATGATGGCATTTTCATGCTAACTTTCTTCAGTAAGTATATGGTGCAACTTATTTTTGTAAGTCAGCAGCCCAAAATAGCTGGTGTTGTTTTCACACTTAGGTTTATGAGGCACCAAAAAAAAAAAAAAAATTTGTGCCAATTTTAAGGTGTTTTTTTTTTTTTTTCCCCCCTCCTTCTTGGAATATAAAGAGAACTTGATCTGCTGCTTTTCTCTTCCTTTCTTAGTGGCATTCCTCTTCAACTGGATTGGATTTTTCCTGTCTTTCTGTCTGACTACTTCAGCTGCAGGGCGGTATGGAGCCATCTCTGGATTTGGGCTGTCTCTCATCAAATGGATCCTTATTGTCAGGGTAAGCTGTGCAGAAACACAGTACTGGTACTGCTTGTTTTTTCCCGACTCATTTTTGTGTCACTTAAATGTAAATGTTATTTCTGTTATTTCTGTTATTTTTTTTTTACACTGAAATGGATTTTCAGCTTCTTGTTCACTGAGGACAGCAGAGCTTTACTGCCATTCTGTCTGGTTTATGAGTTCATATGGTGGGATTATTACCATAATAAAGGAGGTGGCAAACTGCACCCCCGAGGATATCTGCCGCATCAGGAGTGTTTGTGTGCTGGGCATGGCAGCGATCCGACCTTCATGGAACAGCATCCAGATAAAGCCAGCCCTGCACTCAGCTTAGTGGTGCATCTCACTCTGTGATGCTCTTTAGGTGCTACTTTGGGAATGTAATTTCTCTGAAGTGTGAGGTCGCTGTGGTCACAACCGATGGGAAGAGGGACAGGGCTCTGCAGGTTTGTTTTCCTGCCGGAGGAAGCGCAGTGGCGCTGTCACAGGGCTGCAGCGGCTCGCTGGTGCCCTCTGGTGTGACGCGCTTGTGGCACAGGTGGCAAGAAGCTGTTCTTCATGTTCTTTTCCTTGCTAGGGACTGCATATGCAGGCAGCTTGAAAATAGATTTAGGTGCAGACACTGCCGTGTGCTCTAACTTGTGTGATTATTGTTTGTCTTTCCCCAGTTCTCCACCTATTTTCCTGGTTACTTTGATGGTCAGTATTGGCTTTGGTGGGTGTTCCTTGTACTAGGTAAGTGTTTTGTTCTGGGGGAAGGAGTGCATACTTAGAACTCTGTAAGGTGCACTAAGGCCCTTTGGAAGCATAGCAGTACTGGCTACTAAAATATGTATGTGCAGATGTGAGACCAAAATGTAACCCTCAGGGTGCTCTTCCTGCATGCATTCTAGGTGCTAGAGGCCCACATAAGCACTGTCTTTTTGTTGTAACTCTGGGGGGTGGTGTCTCATTTATCAACTGGAAGGAAAAAAGAAGAGAAAAATATATTTCAATTTATAGTAAGTGATGTTGTGCCTGCTGTTGAGTGAGTTGTGATCTTTCTTTCATTATTTTTTTTCCCTCCATTGGAGGTGACTAGATCTAATCCAAAGACTAGATCTAATTTTGGATGAAAGGTTTTGTGATGGGCTGAGGAAAGTTTGGTTTTGAGGTTGCACAATATTGAAAGAGGAGGCGCCAGTGGTACAAGAGAAGTTCTTGTATCAGACAGCTGTTGTGCATCCCAGCAACTCAGGTGGTTCTGTATTATTAACAGTGAGTTGATTTGCTTCTTCTCTAATTGCAGAAGCAAAATCTTTATTAACTACACAATTGTGTTTCTTCCATCTAGGATTTCTGCTGTTTCTCAGAGGATTTATTAATTATGCAAAGGTTAGGAAGATGCCTGATACTTTTTCCACTCTCCCCAGAACCAGAGTTCTCTTTATTTACTAAAGGTAAACTTCCTGCTTTCGTGATTTTTTTTTTTTTTCCTGTTTCATTTTAAACTTAATTTAGTGACTTTCCTTTGCATCAGAATTCTTAGAATGCAAGGCAGCAGGGAACAGTTATTTCTTGGTGTCCCACACACAGCTCCTGTTTCTGCAGAGGGACAGCATCCAGACTGTCTTGGTGGGAGCAGAGGAATATCTGACGTTTTGTGCTGGGTTTTTCCTTTGAAGAATTTTGAGTTCATTAGATCAGATTTGTGCAAACAGAATCTTGGCCTTGTGCTGTGCCAGGCGTGTCTTCCTGAGTGAGTGACGAGCCTGAAACACGTGCTATGTTCTAAGCATGAGCAAAGGTCACAGAATGTGGTTAGAAAGCTGTGCCAGTCTGGCTTGTGTACCAAAAAGAACAACTTGTCTGAATTTTGTGTGTACTTTGAATTTCCTGCCAAGTTCATGAAGAAATTCAATTCTTGTGCACCGTTTCTCTTTGAAAACCACTCCTGTGTACTTGAGCACGCTGCCCTACCTGAGTGTTTTCCAAAAGCCCGAATGCCTGAAAGTCTTTTCTTTAAGGCTGAACTTGAACATTGCTCCCTTCCTAATGGGACTTTAAAGGAAGGCTTAAGTAGTCAAACCCTTATAGCACAATTTCCTGCTTATAGCAGATAATGGCCTTGCATTAACTGTCCCTCCCTGAGGGGAAGGAAATCCCGGAATAGTTTGCTTCCCAGATGGTGGGTGCAACACGATGCTCCCTTCAGAAGTTCTGTAATCACACTCTATTTCCCCAAGACGGGGTTGAAGCGGTTGCAGCTGGGACAGTGGTATGAGGAGAGCAAACAAAGCCCAGCTTTAAATTGGGCTCATTAAATTGTTCAGAATTTGAAACCAAGGCTTAATTTTTCAGATGCCCTTTCCCTTTGTTAGGAGCTGCAGATTGCTTACGACTCTGCTTAGTTTCTGTTCTGCAGCAGGAGCACGTTAGGTGGAACAAGCGCTGTGCAGCCTTTCACAGCTTTGCCTGCTGAGGACGGTGTGTAAAAATAGCTCTTCACCCATTTGTTTGTGTTCCTGTTCTGTTTAACAAAGTTACTGGCTTACAGTGGGCTTTTCTGTTGACGTCCAGGGTTTGTAACATCCTCTGGAATTCCTGCTGAGTCACCACGAGGATCACTTCCCTGGGTTGTGTGCTCACACAGTGCCAGTATTTAAGCATCAGCTGTTCACCTGTCGCTTGTTCTCACTGAATTTCATTGTACTTCAACTTGAAACTTTTTATCATAGGGACCACGTGGAACCTTCTTGTTCCAGAGGCCTTTCTTGTATTTGATTCTGTCATTCTATGGTTTGGAATTTGAAATAATAATTTTGGAGACCTTTCTTAACTCCCTGAATGTAAGGATGGAGGTCTGGTGTCTTTGTTTTAAATTGTTGTTTATCCATTTATTTTTGGGCACCTGAGAGCTTTCAGAAAGCACTCCTTTGGAGATACTGAGGAAATGGCCTGCTAAAATGCTTTCACTGGGGATCTTTAATCCAAACTTCTGAGGAGAGGAAACCACAGAAGACTTGCATGTTCACTGTCTGCTTCTCAGATCAGCTTCCTGCTGCAGGGCTTGAGGAGAAGGCAGAGCTGAGCGATCACTTGTGTTTTAGTCCTGTCATTGTGTGCTGAGCTCCTTCATCAGCCCCTCGATATCCTGCGCTCTTTGTGAGCTACATCCTTCTGCTGTCCCAAATAGCAATCTCACTGTAGGTTCAATATTTGATATCCTTCTCCAACAGATGTTTTCTGGCAAATGTCTTCCTGTGTGAGTGAATTCTCCCTCAAGAAGTGACAGGACACCTGCAGGAAGTGAATCAAGACTCTGAGACAGAAGAAAAAATAATCACCTGCTTTAAAAGAAATAAATAAAGTACTGTTGAAAAAAAAAAAAAGGAGAAGCATTTCTTTCTATTTGTTTCTAGATGTAAAATTTTAATAATTAATGCGGAATTCTGTAATCATTAAATCGTTAGTGGCTAATGTTTGCAAAAGCTATTGCAGTCGAGTCTGTGACGTGCTAATGAAGCCTTATCTAGTATCTGTAGTCGTTTGGGTAGCATGAGCTGTGCCCCGTAGCCAGCAGGGGACAGGCTTGCTTTGTTTCGTTCTGCATCCTGGCAGCAGGTTGGGACTCTGGCCCGTGGTGTGCAGTGTGGGTAATGCTGACTGCCCTGAAGGGATGATCTCCAAGCTGAAGTGATGGCATTGCTATGGTTACACACCTTTCTGCTGCCATCGCCACCTGCGCTGCTGCCTGCGTGAGAGGGAAAGCTGGGCTCTGCAGCATGGAGCCGGGAGGTGGAATGAAGTGGGAGAGTCTTATTGTGAAGGTGGCACAAGTATTAATTTTTTAATAGCCTCTGGTATCTCAGTGTTGTAGTATACTTTCGTACTGCCTACTTTTTGGACTAACTAGGGATTTTCACAGTACACGTTGGTAGTGTAAAGATGAAAGGTCACACTGCAACTTTGTATAAAAAATATCTTGCATAATAAAGGCCTTCTTTTCCTTTGGCTTTGGACTTTTGAGACGACTCCTAACGTACCTGTAACTTGCGTTTATAATTTGTGTTAGCAGAGATTCTGATGCATTATAAATGTAGATTTAATGTCCACTTTTGTGCTTTCTGCCAAGTGGTAATTCACTTCGGAGTTTTACTATGTTAAAACTGTAAATACAGCAGAACATTAATAAATGTCACTTATGTAGCAATTTTTGCTGTAGATCAGTGTTTAATTGAGTTTCGGTGCTCGATTGCATCTGGTTCTTGATTCCCATTGCAGGTTTCCTGCAGGAATTTCATCACAGCTGCACGGAAGGCGTGATGCAGATGTGACTCTTCCTCCACTCCAGGGTCTGTTTCTTCGTTTTTGTATCCAGGTTTGCCATCCCCAGGCTGGTTTGCAGCGTTGGTCTCTTTGTCAGTTCAGGAGACAGCAATGCCGTAGATTTTGGGAGCGCTGGGTTTGTCTCGGTCTCACGTAAGCTATCTGCTTTTTGAAATGATTAAATCATAGTTTTGTTTCAAGGCTGAACTTCACAAATGTCTGCTCCTGACATCCAGGCAGTTGGGCGGACAGGGATAGATGGGGGTCACTGGGAACTTCCTTTTTAAATACGTGTGTGCAGAGGGAATTACTGAGTTCATCCCGCAGGACAAAATCTGGAGCACTGAGGCACATTTGCCCAAACTTGGTAGATCAGCCTTCTGTTTATTCTCTTGGCATATGGGCCTTATTTGGTCTTATGCATTCAGAGAACTGGAATATTTGGCATTCCTGTTTCTCGTCATTCGATGGCCTGGTGCTGCAGACACCTAGAGCTCAGCTGTCCTATACAAACACTCCCAGCCATTCTTTTCAAGGACCACGGGCAGGGAGGGATGCCCTGTGGAAGGGGGGGTGGTGGTGGCAGGGTTTGAAGAAGCCCACATCTGTGTTTGGTGAGGGCTGAGAGACTCCGAGCTCAGACAGCTGCCTTGGGTCAGCCAGCCCAGACACTGCGTGCCACAGCGGTGGCCCTGTGTGCTCGCTGGATCCCTTTGTCCCAGCTGCCCTGTAGCAGCCAGTCTGCCTTCCCTTTGCAGCAGCATAAAGCTCTGTGTGGGTTCAGACAGGATCTGGAGGTGCTGTGCTGTGAGGACCTGCTGGGTGGTGGGAAGCGTGCTTCCAGCTGGCCTTCTCTGGCCATTCTACAGCTCTCCCACCCAGCACCTGCAAAGCCAAGGTCTGTAGCAGGGATGTGTCTGCCCCTGCGGTTCCTGGGACCTGAAGTCTTCTTGGATCTATTGCAAAGTAACTTCCAGAGGGTAACCTTGCAGCAGTTTTTAAATTGCAACTATTGCCAGGGGTTGGTGGAGGAGGACACGCACGGAGCCCCCATCTCGCAGAATGCTTTGTGCCCCGTGTGCCACAGTGAAAATGCTCTTTGTCTCACATAACGTTTCCATTGGGGAATTGTTGAACTCTCTGCTTGTCAGCACATCCACGCTGAGGGCTGGGCTGCCGCTCACACTGCTGGCAGTGCTGCAGGGCAGTGCTGGCCTGTCCTGCCGACCCCTGCGGCCAAGGAGGGATGCGTTGTGCTGGGAGCTGCTGGGCCCGGCCGTGTCCTCAGCCCTCTGACATCAGCACATGTTGCTCAGAAGAGTTTGGCTGTGTTACAAACTGCTTTTTTTTTGTCCAAACTCCAAAAGCATTTCCACAACTTTTTTTTTTCTTTTTTTCTTTTGCTGTTGTTTGAAAGCAGTTTGAGATCGTTCTGCCAAGCTGATTGGTGCAGCTAGATTTAGTGAAGGCTTCTATAAACCTCTCTGCTGTACTGCAGAGATCCTTTCTGACATGAAAAACGCTGTGATGAATTCATTGCTTTGTGTTTCGGCCACACAAAGCCGATGACTGACTCATGTTTGGTGGCTTTTTCAGTGGCCATAGTTCTTGTTGTTGTGAGCTGGAGGGCATCGGAGCGGGGAGTCGGGGGAGATGGGGGTCACCGACCCAGGAGGTGTTCAGAGCAGTGGGGATGTGGCACTGCGGGCTGTGGTGTGGGGCCTGGGGTTGGGCATGGGGAGCTCAGAGGTTTTTGCCGTCCTTAATGAATGAAGTTTTCACAGGACCTACTGCTGTTTTCATTGCGTCGTATGTAAAACATGGTGTAGGTTTAACTGGGAGGAAAGATAAATAAGTGCGTTGCAAAAAATTTGTATTATAAACCCCAACTGGTAGCAGTTGGATTAAGGAGTGCTTTCAGAAACTCCTCGAGTGCAGAGCATCTGCAGGGCTGTTCCTGGGGCTGCTGCTGCCCATCGTGTTCCAGCTGCTCCTGCTGCTAGAGAGCACTAGAGAGCTCTGGGCTGACTTTTGTGTGGGGGGTTTAATTGAATTGCTCAATACTGAGGAGGAAACCAATGCTTTCAAAGCGCTCTTCACCTCTGGGCTGCACTCCAGCCCCGCACACCAGCACGTGCCCCTGCTCTGTGCAGGGAAGGGGCAGGAGCCAGCTGCAGCAGGACCGAGGGCCGGTGGGAAGGAAGCCCATCTCCAACCCGGTTTGTGTTTGTTTGTGTTGTTGCTTTAACCAAAGCAATTGGAGTGCAGTAATTAAAGGCTCAGTGGCTCTAATTGGAATAGGTTTAAACTCGAGGTCAAAATCCCTTCTGGCACTTCCTTTGCCTAATAACCATCAACAGAAATCAAACAAATCCAACTGGCTCCAGCCACTAATCTGCAACAAGCAAAGGTCGTGGCGGCGATAAGGGAGTGGGGCGGCCGCAGGCAGTGCTGCTTATAAACACAGAGCTGTGCCGGGGTGACACTGAGCGGTGCTGGGGCACGAGGTGCTGCTGAGCTATGCCAGGGTGCGGGGTGACACCGAGTGGTGGCAGCGACACGCAGGGCAGCATGGATGGGCATCGTGTGCCGGAGCAGCATTGGTGCAGTGCAGGGCATGGGTGCTCAGCAAGGTTCCAATTTGCTAGGCACAGATGGAGGAGCTGAGGCCATGGTGGAGCAGGAGGAAGGGGATTGCACACGAGCACTGATCTCTGGGGCTGTGTGGAGCTCGCCTCAGCCCACCCACAGCTGAGCTTCCTGCCTGGCCGGAGGTCACTGCCCTGCCAGGTCGCCGCTGTAACTGCACTCCTAATTAGGGCCTCATTGGGGCCTTTAAAGTGGTCTGTGAGGGGGGAAAGAAAAGAGAAAAAATGAAAGGAGTTGCAGATTCGCAGGTGGCCGGGGGCCAGTGCAGCATCCTCCTGCCCCAGGACGCACGGTTTGGTTCATGTGGCACACAGCGCCGTGCCGCCCTGCTGGTCTGCCCAGCCTCGCTGGATTGCTTCCAGTCACTTCAGCCTACAGATTGCATGTAGTGTTCAGGGCTCTTTGCAGCTGCTCCCTCTCTGCCAGCCCTTGCATGTGTGGCACTGAAGGCAGCTTGTGGTGCAGTGCTGCACTGAGCCCCACCTTCTGCTTGGAGGGGTCTCCAGTGTGCCACCAGCCCCTGAGGCACCCCCTGCACCCAGCCCTGCTCTCAGCCCCCAGGCAGTGCCCATCTTGGGTGCTAAATCTGCAGCTTGATGGAGAGCTGAGTGGCTCTTCACCATCCAGGGCAAACCATTGGGTGCTGGCATGGGACAGGGAGGCAGCAAGCAGGGCACCATCTGCCTCCCTTCAGCCCCATCTCAGTGCCAGCTTTCTAGAAGGGCTTTCACCAGACTTTGCAGATCAATTACCCTGAGCATTTTCAGCTGGAAGCGGGGAGAAGGAGGAAGTACTTTATGGGCCCCCTGCAGCAGCAGGGTAGGAGACAGGGGTGGGGGACAGCTCTGCCCATATCCTCCCCATCCCTGCACCCAGGGGGATGGTTCCCATACCATCAAGGATGGGTGCCCTCCTGCTGGGCACGGCTCCCACCCCTCTCACAAAACCCATCTGACAGCAAGGGCTCTGTTTATGTCTCTGCTAATTGAAGTAAGTTGTTTTCTGCAATCAAATTGGGAAGTTCCCCTTCCGATCGTGATGTGAGCTGTGCTTTAGTTTGTGAATTCCAGTATTTAGTCTGCCTTAAGTTTCTCCCCCTAATTAATGTCATGCATCCAGCCGGTTGCTCAGCCTGCAGTCTGAATATTCCTGAGCCCCTGGAGTCCCCACAGGAGGGGTTCCCTTCTCCCCCTCCGCATCCCCCGTGTGCTGTGGTGCATTGCCCAGGCTGCACTGGGTCATGCAGGGCTTGATGGCTCCCCCTGCACTGGGTGCTCCTGGGGGACTGTGGGCTCTGCCCTCGGATGCAAGAGAGAGATTTTAATCTGACCTGGCAGAAAATCACTATTTCTGATCAGAAGTGAAGACCCTGGTGGAGGCACGAGTCACTGCTGCGTGCTGCGGTCACAATCAATCCTCTCATTAATCTTATGGCCTATTTTCATGGCCATGCACTGAATGGGAGGAGAACTGCTGACCAATGGTCCCCATCTGCTGTTTGCACTCTGCACAGTCACTACTTTTCCTACCTTTTTTCCTTCTTTCCATTCTATGGAGTGTCCTGATGTTGTAATGAGTGTTGGCAATAGCCATGTTGAAAAATAAGGCCTTACCTACAAGGAAACATGCACCTTGTTGTAATGGTGCAATCCCATTTCAGATTCATACCCTTTTATTTCAGACAAGCCGAAACCGATTCTGAATTGACACAGAAAAAGGAAACAAATGCTATTGAACTGAAATGGGAGAAGACAGAGAGGACCCATAGTGGCACGGGGCTGCCTGGGCAGGCAGCAGTGCTGCATGGATGCATCTCCAGGTTTTGCTTTGTGCACGTGGTGACAGGAATTACTGCCTCTATGGACAGCATCCCAAACCAAAGGGCCAACCGTGTCCTGGGTGGCAGCAGCTCTGTGCTGTGACTGTGATCAAAACAGTATGGATCCTGCTCCTCCGATGGGTCCTGGTTCTCAGGGACACACAGGAATCCAAAATATCTGCTGAGTTTTTTTGCATTTGTGTTCCCTTCCCTCGTGCCTTTTTTCATCCCTACCAATTACTGCTTCTAAGTATAAACTTAAAACAGAGACGGAGCTGAGTTTGCGAGGAACATATGGACAAATGGAAAATAAACAGCACGAGGAATTCCTGGCTAATGAGTTCTTGAATGATAAGATACCACCAAAAAAATAAAAGGAGAAAACAGAGGTCTAAGCTGCGGCTCTGTCATGCCTA